GGGGCTTTCTCTCTTTCGATTTTTTACCAGCATGTTGAACGTGGCCAAGCGTGCAAATCAGAGGTGTGGGGGAAGTACAACAAACCAAATACAAAAACAAAAATCAGTTCTTAAACAACGGCCAAAGGAATGGCCAATCTCAACAGGAATCGCACAATGTGATTCTAAAGCAATGGCCATGCAGAACTGAGAGGAGCCGTATCTGAATGAAAACGCGTGCAGATTGGCCTCTCGACGAATGGGAACACTGCTCAATTTAAACCCGCGTACAGAATGCCGTCTCGTTCAACGTGCGTTTCGAGTTGTTTGGCCGCTATGAATCCCCACGTTGATAAGCAGCTATCATGCGTGGCCATGTCGCTTCTGAAGAAGAGCAATAGAGTGAGCCCCCTAGGTTTAACGGACTAATAGGGTGGAAGGGATGTCCGGAGAATCCAATTGTCCCTTAATGGCCAAATTACGTATTTAGAGCATTAAATCACACCATACCACACGCAAGCGACTCACCGACAGTTCAGTAATGGATTGTTATAAAATATTGTAATGCTTTTAATAATAGGAAAATCAACACAGTAATAATGCTAGTTTATGATACGTGTACATTAATAATACGTTAATACATTGCAGTGATGAACTAATACTGTAATATAGTACTACTGTACATTCACATTTTAATTTGAGTGGAGGGTTACATGTAGAGACTTTGTATTTTAACGCCATACCAACCCGTCCTGTTGAAACTGTCCAAACATCAAGCCATCACTGTTCATCTTTGTCTCAAAGTTACGTATACGATGCTGTACTGTCAACTCAATTTCCACTTTTATTCCTCATATGTGTTGACCTAATTTTAATAAAAAAAAAACACGTGCAGTGTCATTAATGCCGTGCACCCATTTCAGGGGAGGAAGCGAATATTGACCGGACTGATTTCCCGATTACTGGACTTAGTCCGTTGTTTGGTAAAAAGTCCGTTTTTGTTGTTGTTGTTGTTGTCTGATCTTCGGATAAAACTCTTGATTCAACAAATTGTGTCCGTTACATCCGAGATCCGTTGAATGGGGGTACATTAAACCTAGGTTGTACCGTATATCTCATCGGGCCTGATGCGGTACATTAAACACGTGTTTAGTTTAGAGCGCAGAAACACAACTCGGAAAACGTGTGCTGGGGAGGCTTTGATTGACAGGATCTAAACTTCTTTCAATGGGAGGCCAAACGTCTCGGAAGCTGGAGGGAATACCCCTGTAACCTGGCACAAAATACTGACAGAGAGATTTGTAGACTCACAACAAAGACCGACAAAAGAGACCCACACGTCGAGATGTCCTTTTGGAGTCACGCAGAGACTCGCATAGACTTGCATACAGAGACCCGTCGGCTCACACAGGGACCCACAGACGCATAGCATACGCGAGTGCGCGCGGACCTTCACAATAACGTGGCGAAGATGGGAAACCATTGGACTTGCTGTTGCACCCCACTCTCTTCTGACAGCATAGCTGAGCAGAAGCCCACACCGCAACAGCCTGCTTTGGGGACCGGAGGTTGTCCATCCAAGCACTTCCCCAGGCTCAACCCGCGCTTAGCTTGTGGCGTGATCTGCGCATTCCGGAGTGATTTGGTCGGAGGCATCGCTTAGCTGCCTTGCGTGGAAAATCAAACGAGGCTGTTTTGTCGTAGTCACCTGCCTCCCGGGGTAATGGTGTGGAAACACAATTTATTCCGCGGAATACGAATTGCGGTCGATGAGCTAACTGATCGACCTTTATCAGCGCTGCATGTAAGCGGCGTTTGTCTCTGTCAAAAAATGCTTGTGCTTATGGCGATGGACGCGATATTGGGACAGCGCGCTTTCTGTAGGGTGCGGGTGAATGTACTACGTACAATGTAGCGGAGCTGCTCAAACACATTGTCACACTTGTATGTACGTGTGTTGAACTTCTATCGCACTGTACGCAGCCAACCATGCTAATACGAGGCGCAGGGGGTAAGGACAACAAACTAAACACAATTTTATATTTTTTAATGCATAGCTCCCAGTCGCTTCACGATGTCGTAAGGAGGAGCGTTCTAGACGGCCGCGTCTGAAAGCGCGCGACTAGCAGACAAAAGCCCGCCGCCGTGAGTACGACCAGAGTTCGCGTGATGGTTCACGCTCCTTGACGCGATCAGCAAGGTGCCGTGGTTAATTTGTGGCAAGCACTTTGTGTGTAATGATATAGCACCTCAGAGATGTCATGTGCTATGAACAAGCGGCTCTAGCACAAAACATCGCCTCTTATATATGTATATATTGTTTTCCTTTCAAGGCCACAGTCTTATCGACAAATGTGTTGAGTTTTTTTTTCTGTTACAAACATATTGGATTATCATTGAGCACAGCTGACTCATATTGGCAGCGCAGGGATGTCTATAATGTGTTGGGTTTTGTGTGTGTGTGTGCATGAGTATATCAACCCGTGGGTTTCAGTAGTTGGGAGGGGCAAAGGCTGCTGCATGGATACCGTGCAGGGGACATTTTTCGAATGTGCGCGGGAAAAATTCGGCATCAGTGTGTAGCAACAGAATGTAGTAATACATGAAACAAATGCCTTACCAGCACAAAATACACGCTTATAAACAACATGAAAGAAATGCCTTACGAACACCTTTTGTTAGGAGTCGTGAACATGTGACGTTCTCTGGAAATTCTGGCTCTTAGTAACCGGGCAAGTTGCAAATATACCAAAAAGGTAGAGAGAGTGCGCTAAACCTCAGAAACGATAGCAATTTACGGACCGGCACAACGTTTGCGATCTCCGTTCATGCATTTCTAAAAAGGACATTCAGGACGCACACTCAAGGGGGTTCGGGCGGATTGGCACGTGAGGTCAGATTGAACTTGGCCCTGGAAAGCCACCGGATCTCACTCCTCTTGGCCCGGCCGTCCCAGAGACGACACAGAGCTAGCGATGACACTTCGAGCCGAGTGAGCTCACGTCAACGTGGCGGAGTGTTCATGCATCCTGCGTGGAACGGACTGCGACGGGTGTCCAAGCAAATACGACAAAGCAAATTATAGTCGGTGGCTTGCAATAATTGGCAAAGGTGCAGCCCTGCAAAGGCTTTGCTCATGCCGCCGCCGGCAGATGCGCCAAATGGTATTTTAGGCCTACCCTTAGGGGCCGTCCATAAATGACGTCACGCACCTGGGGGGGGGGGTCAGACATTTGTGACGATGTGTGACTCGGGGGGGGGGGGGCGTTTTAGAAATGTGACGTCACATCAAAATGCGCAACTTTAAATAAATGTAGACAACACGTTCTACTTAATTAAATAGACTTTTTAATAAATGTTTTCTCCTACAACATCAGAGTGCAGCGCCACATTAAATACGCACTACAATGAATATTTTGGGGGGGGGGGGGGGCAGAGCTTTGTGACGTCATATTTGAGGGGGGGTTTGATTTTTTGTGACGCCTTGTGACGAGGGGGGGGGGGTCAAAAATCGTCCAAAATCGCGTGACGTCATTTATGGACGGCCCCTTACACGCTGGCCAGATGTCTTCGAAGAGGTGGGAAGTTACCCACACTTTACCCCACCGCACGCGCCTTGCCCATTGACCGCTCGGCGGACAGGGGCGGCGATGATTTCGGAATCTTGTCCTTTGTTTCCACTGCCGCGACTGGGGGATCAAACCGGCGACTCGTGCCGTTGCTCACGCGCGCGCGCTCACACATAAATCACGTGAGCGAAGTGGCTGTGCGAAAAGCGGCAATGCCCCTAGCCAAGGTCCCTCACGACGAGAGCTGCATCATCTCGCACACCCCAAGTCTCTCAGGTGCAAATGATCAATTACGATCCCGGGATGTTTGCTGTCTTCGCAATCCGTGGCCTTCGTGGATGCAATGACCGAGCAGCAAGAGCGTTGAACGGAGAGCGAGTGGGCAAAACTACACCCACGCTTGCGCACCCGGTTTCTCAAATCAAATCCACTGCCAATTTTTTTTTATTTGAGCTGCACGCAAGGCTGCGAGAGCGACCCTTGAAGCACGTGTCGACCGGGTAACAAGGGGGGAGACTGAGAAGCAGAGGGTATGTATTATGTATGTGTGGACCTGTCTCGCATGGCACGTAGCCAGCCGTGCTAATCAGTGGTGGTGATGAGACTGCAAGAGCGGTCCTCGGAGTTCAGATGTCGAGTTTTGCAAAATAATGGTCGATGTTTCCGGGAGAATGGTCCTTCTTAGAAAATAATTTACATTTATTTGTAAGGCGCCTTCCACTAATGATAGCACGCCTACATTCTGTCCTACCGTTGCGTATTCCCGCAACGTGTTCAGGAGATAAATGACGATGTCGAGGTCGGTTAGCCACGACGAGAGAACTGCCGTTCCGTGCTCTTGGCGGAATGGACGTGATGATTTAGAATGCGGATATGAATAGAGAGACCGGAGAAATGCAGCTGATGATGATCAGAGTCTGAGACTACACTGAACAGCGTGAGATCTCAAGAGAATCGCCCTCCCTATCCCTCTGGCTTCTCTACCTTGTGCTATGGAGTAGAGCCATTACCCGAAATGTCTACTTTCATATATTTATTCCTTCTAAGGCGATGTCCTCTTGGCCGTGGCACGTGAATGTGTATCGTGCATCTGGGTCTGTGTGTGTGTTGGGCGCGTGCCCGTTGTTCGTGAGTGCGCTCGTCCGTGCACGCAGACGTGCCCACGTGTGTAACGGGGAGGGAACGGCAGTGTAGCGGTTCACGCGCTGCGCTGCGAACCTGACGGCCCCGGTTTGGTTCCCGCTCGCGGGCAACACAAGCGACGATTATCTTAACCGGTCATTCGCCTCCCCTAGGTCACGAGACAAAGGCGGCCGGGCGTGGTGTTGGTGGTCCACCCCCTACTCGTGCCGTGACGGACCTTCGTAGGTGCTCGCTAACAGCACTTGCTATACGGTGTTGGATATTTGCCTTTATCTGTGCGTGCGTGTGCGCGTGTGTCGGTGCGCCCAGCTGCAGCATCCGTCGCACGGCGTGCGCTGCGGGACGGTGCGGGGAAGCGGGGCCGAGAGCTACGTGGCGAAGGTCTTCCCGGAGATCCACGATCACATGCGCCAGCACAACGTGCCTTCCGCTTCGCAGGGCATCGCCCGCCTCAGGTGCGCCAACCCCCCCCGCGCTCCCCCCGTTTCTCTCCCTCCCTCCACCCCCCACCACCACGGTTCTCACAAAGTCACCCTTCGTTGTGGTTCGTTCGGCTCGGACTTGGCACTGGCTCAAATGAGCCGGCTCAAACGACGCGCTCAACTCGAGCCACTCGAACTCGAGGTCGTGGGTTCGATCCTGACACTGACACTTGTATACATTCGAAGTTTGCATGTTCTCTCTGACTATCTGCCCGTAGTTGCCTGATCCTCCGGTTTTGCCTTACACATTTATCATCGACGTGCATTTAGAGTAATCGTCTGTTGTGCAATCCTATGCGATAAGCCACTTTGTGGAGCTCTCATTTGTGATGGCCAGGTCGCTTCTGACAAAGAGCTATGAAGCTCAGTGGGCCTTACCTGGTCAAAGAAAAGTGTCATGGTAATGCTCACCATCTGAGATCTCGATTTCAAATCCGGCGATTGACTCCTTATGGAGACCACGCCAATGGATGTCTCAGCAATTGGCCCTTCCCCATGCTGCACACACGTGAATCACCCAGCGCAACCGTTTATGTGTAGTAGAGTTCACGACTCTTGGACGCCGGAGTGGGAGGCACACGGGTTTATTTCACACAGCACGGTTTTGGCATACAACACTAGAGGGGGTATCGGCCCCCTCACCCGGCTAGCTGGGGATACACGCGCTAGCTACTCCTAGCCTGCCTCCTAGTCCTCCACTAACGGGCTAAGGGAGGCTATCTGGCCCGACACTGGTAAGTCGGGCCCGGTACCCTGAGTCCCAGACCAGCTCTGACAAGAGCACCGGCTCTGGCTCTCGGGACCACGCCGCTGGCTCGATCCTGTTCGGCCCTGATAAGGACGGCGAACCAGGGGAGTTCAGGCCTCTAGCTAAGACGTCTTCAGTCTTCACTGGTTAGCTTAACATTTCTCCCCGAGCCCTCCGACACATCCCCTTTTATACCCAACCCCCCGCTGAGGGGTGGGGCCCCGGGGGATCATAACTCTGAATCAGCCCCCCCCAGGGTGCCTGGCGCGGACGTCGTAGAGAGCACCTCCCCGTGCACTCACGTAGCCCTGCCCACTGTGGTTGTTTGCCATAAGCTGCCATGCATAACGGGCTCTCTCTCTAACACCCCTACACATGCACCTCCGATTAGCACGATTGGCTATGTACGGTGCACGAGAAGTCCAACACGGAGGGACGCCTCTACTTACAAACATTCGACTCATGAACTTTCAGAGATACGAACAAACCTGACCGTATGTCCAGTTGCCACTTCGGACCGAGAGTCGTAAGTTCACTGCCGTGCAATAGATGGCGGTCGGGGCATCTATATCTGCAGAACGTGAAGAACCAGTGGCATCTATATCTACAAGAGAGTATGCAACTTTTAAAGCCATTCCCCATGTTCAGTGTATACACTGTACAACATGTTTGGAATCGCCATGAGCAAAGTTGGACTTACGAACAAATCGACTAACGAACAGACCTTTGGAACCAAACTCGTTCGTAAGTAGAGGAGTCCCTGTACATGTGTAGGGACAGTGCGGAAAGAGAGAGACGGTGCGTGGGTGGAGATAATGAGGGGATAGGGGCCGTGCGTGGCCCCTATTCCCTGAGCCAGATTTGAAGTTTTCGTGACTGCAGGGATCCATACTCTTTGGTTCTTTCGGTAAAGTTACGTAGGTAGAAATTTTTTTTAAATCACGACGTTTCGGGCCCACTTCAGCAATTGTTTCTTGCTGTGGTTGTCCCACCTGATGGCAGACGCTTGATTTGCACCGGAAACGTCCTGATTTAATTTATTTTATTTTATACCGACGTGACTTTACCGAAAAAACCAAAGAGTATGGGCTGAGCCAGTTTGGGAAAGAGGGCGTGGCCAGGGGCGTGGGCGGGGGAGGGGCGGGGAAGGGGCGGGGCCACGCCGGGGGGGGGGGGGGGGGGGGATTAAAAGGCGGGGACTGAGAGAGCTTGGGGCTGCCCTGGGATCGGAATGTATAGCTTCGACGCCGCCGTCGTTGTTTGGTGTGCTGTCCTTGCCCAATTATCTGTTGTTATTCTCGCCCAGTGCTGTGTGCTAGTCATAGCTCTAAGTACTGTAGGATATGAGAGGACGTTATCTGCGCCCTAAAAAAGTTTTCGAGAGTCATTAAACATGCATACGCCTAAATCATACTCCCCAGCACTGCCCTGCCGTGTCCTCTTCCGAACTTCCACATTGTCTTAATCCTTTCTCGAAACGAAATTCCTCGTTATAAACGGCCTCAAATAGATTTTTAAAAAATCAATCCAGCCATCAAAGATAATGTTATTCTCAATTGGACAAATTGACAAGCATAAAATCTATTTTAGATGTATACTGAAAATATTTTTTGTTTACGTATATAAAACAAATCCAATTATTATTTCTGTTTTATAAAGTTACCGACACCGCATTTACGCACGGGGTCAAAATAAAATTAGATTTTTCCGATTGCCCGTAAATGTATATACGCTCTAGTCCACCTTGTTCCCGGCTCTGCCTTTAGCCTGAACGACGCGCAACTGAAGAGCAAAGCACTTAATCCCGACTCTGAAGCTTGTGTAACGAGCACTGCGCACACGAACGTAAACAGCTCAGAGCCATGGCCATGACAGACTCCCGACCCGCATCGGGATTTGCGCTTCGGGGATTAAAGAGGCAGATGCGCTGTCCTTGCTGGCATTTCCAAAGCAAAATTCCCCCGAGTTCCCCTCTGCGTCCTACGGCAGGTCTAACGTGTGAACAATTGTGCATCCAAAATTCCCACGGGAATCTTCCGATGTAAATGCCACACACAAAACAACAACAACAACAAATCTGCCGAGGCACTTTATGCCGCACGACTTTGTTTGTCGTGAGAAATGCAATGGTAAAGGTACAGCTCTGCAATGGCTTGCTCACGCCACTGCTGGTGGAGGATGCTCGACTCGAGGGGGCTTTAATGTGCCCCTCTATAGCAGCGATTATTGGCCTACTCTTCCGCGCTCCCCAAAAATCTCGGGAATTCTGGGAATACCCACACTTTACCCCCCCCCCCCCCCCACACACAGCGAAATGCCGTGTGTCCCAGTTACACTGGGCATTCGTGAAAAGGGGCTTCATAGCTCGGTGGAACAGAGGTGAGGGGAGATTTAAAACACGTGCCATTTGACCTATCTGTCGTGCCAGGAGATGGCATCGAACCTGCGACCTCTGGATTGCAGGTTCCTTTGCGCTAACCGTTACACGTAAAATACATTAAAGCACAATTCGTTTTACCGAGTTTCTAACGTCAATGCTAAAATACACGTTTTCATCATGAGCAAAGCATGCGAAATATATATTAGATTCTGGGTCGACATTGCATGGGGCCTGCCAAATGATTTTGCGTGTGTGTCGGATGTAATTTTCTTATAAGCTTCATGAATTGTTTTAAGATGCACAGCCGTTTTAATTAGTTTTTTTAATGCAATTCGATATGATTTATAAATATAAAGTTACCATAGAGTCTCAGCCATAATGAGATATAAATTGGTACAAAATACGTTTTCGCACCAATGAAAATCAACACCAGCTAATTATAATCCTCAGTTCATTAGGAGACAATATATGCCCTTAATTACCTTACACACGTTCCTCTTATTGATGGAGCCTCTCTCAAGGTCATAATGAGACATATGTGGTTTTCTCAAATCCATCTCAAAGATTTACTCTCACCAAATTTGTTCGAATTAATCGGCGTTGCTGAAAACATGTTTGGAAAAAAAACATTTACACGCGTGTTTGTTTATTGTACATTGAGTTTAGTTCGTCAAAATAACAGCGGTTAAGATGCAAAGATAAAGACCCCCCAGGATAGCCTTAACAGACAATACTCTTAGTTCTTTCGGTAAAGTCACGTAAGTAAAAAATGAAATTAAAATTAATAAAAATAAAACAATAAAAATCACGACGTTTCGGAGGCAACACAAGCTTCCGTCTTCAGGTGAAACCGTCACAGCAAAATATCTGTACCTTATATAGTGGTTAAGGGGGGAGGAGCCAGGAAGGGCAGCGGGGGAGGAGGAGTTGTGAAGTGGTCAATTACTGCTTTTGTTATACTGCTGGGTGGGGCAATTGCTGTTCGTGAGCACCTATGAAGGCCGAAACGGCACCCGATGGCGTGGTTGGCCAGCACCATGCCCGACCGCCTTTGTCTCCCTAGTGGCAATGTTTTAACACATCCCACTAAGTACTCATTTGAGACTGAGTCGACCTAGGGTGGACCCAGGACCGGTTCAGATAAAATTGACTGGTTTTGGCTGTGAGCTGAAATCGAACTCGAGTCACCGAGTTCGTAGCACAGCGCGCTAACCGCTGCACTACCGCTCCCTACACTACCGCTACACTAAACCGCATACATGCTCACACAAACACTTGAGAAACACATCGGAGCATAAACACCTTGGGCAATTATTGACGTTGGAACATCGTAGAAATTATTAAATAAAGAGGGAAACACGTGGCAGTTTGGAGTGCTTTTGGAAGACTGAATGTGCAAAAGATCCATTTAAATTGTCGTGTATTACTCACTTTGGTGTATGAATCCAAAAATAAGGCCATTAACAACAGAAAAATGCAACTAAAATTTAAAAGTCATTAATTACTTTGAGATATAGAAACAAGGAATGCTTAGAACAGGGCACAAATATATTAAAATCAATCATACCGATTTGACTGAAAAAAAGCGAGTGGGCATTGGCAGGACGAGTCCGCAGAATGGGATGGCAGACAATGATCAATGATAGTAACCAACAATGGCCCACGCAACAGAGAGAGCACGTCCGCCAAAGAGACGGAGTGATAAAATCAGCTCTTGCATAGGCTCTACCACGGATAATTTTCATCGCAGGATCGTGAAGAGGCGGTGGCAGCTTGGCAGGGGGGGTGCAGGCCGTCATCCAGCAGCGGAACGATCATGGCTGATGACGATGAGTGGGATAATGTATTTTTTGAGCGTGGTGAGAGCTCGGTGCTTGGCTTCGACGAGACGTTGCCAAGATAGCGCGCACTTTCTGCAGATAGAAGCAAAACTTACGAGAGAATGTCACGTGGGGACGGCTCGCGGTGAGTAAAGTTCAGGGAAGGGACAATCTTCTCCAGTTCCGTTCCGGAGATTTGAAGAAAAACGGGGGTCAGTTGCTCCATTGCAGATAACAGCCTCGCTCGGTTGTTTTGTTGTTGGCAGTAGACAGACCACGAGGCAAGCTGAAAATGCCCCCCCCCCCCCCGCACACACTCACACGAGCGTCAGTCCATGGTTGCCTTCGTCATTGGCTGCCTCGAGGCTAGAAGCCGAAATTCCACATTACTATGGAGGGAAATTACTATTCTCAGTGGAAGGCTTGCCTTTCCTCTTGTGTATGCTTAAGGAAAATAATTATAATGATAATGATATAATAAAAACTCATGTTACTTTAAAATCCTTTAGTTTTCTTACGTAAATACAATATGCATTTAGATAGCGTCTGAATGCAACTTCATCTCAAGATGCTTCACGGAGGGGGAGAGAATTTAAGTTTTGCTCGTAGTATAAACCATAATAATGGAATCATTGAATATCCACATTCACAACATATACATGGTGGTCTATTTAAATAACAACTCTCTAAGTTTCTTCTCGACAGCTCATTGAACGTTTGCGAAAACGATGCCTCTGTATGTGGATAGATCATGGCTGATGATGATCGTAAGTGCACAACATTGAATGATTTAACACTCCACGTGGTATTTACGAGCCTCCATACAGGGGGCACTTCGAACAGAACTGTTTGCACACGGAGATATGCTCCTGGTGCTGTTGTTCATGTCAGCTAGTGATTTCCCACTGTTGGACAAATGCCATTTTCTCTCATTCCAATCCACCAACTTCTCCCGTGTCGTCCTGACCTCCGAACTCTGTAGTTCCGTCTCACTGCTGTCATCTTTTAAGCTGTCTTCCTCTGCGCCCTCTTCCCCTGCTATCTGTCGCCACACTCGACAGTTGAGTGAGAGAGAGAGCGCGAGGAAAATTGTAATTACAAGAGGTTAACAACGTGTTAAAATAGGAAAAATGCATTGGAAAAAAAGTGAACAAAAAAGTTTTATTCGGTAATGTTATTGCACCCGTGAAATGTTGATGGATTTTGGTAGTAAGGGATAAATGCGTGCCATGCAGTGTGAATGGTTGTAATTATACATCAGCAGTGGTAACATTGACAAATTATTCCGTTTGTGTTGCCTTGTTTTACATACGTTGTTAAAAGACAACAGCCATATCCGGCCAACAAAAGTGCTCAATTTTGACAAGGTAATTTCCTGTAGTAGTTTGTGTGTGTGTGTGGCATTTTCATAAAACGATGGAGTATGACAGAGCTCTTGATGTCATTGTGTGCATTCCAGGGGAAGGCCAAAAGAGTTCACTGCCTGACAAAATATGTTGTGAATTTATTTCCGCAAAAATCTTGGCAGTGGACTGCTTTGCTATATTTCCTTTTTTGTATCACAGTCTTCCCTCGTTGTTGGCGAACTTACGATCCGCGATTTGTTCTAAAAAATTTAATAAATCAACAGTAATTTGGAAGAAAATCTTAGAAAATCCAGGGAAATCTGGAGTACAAACCCACACTCAATTGAGCTGGCTCCCAGTGCCGTTCACGCGTTGTACGAGCATACGAATCATTATCTTCGGTGAAAGTATTTTTTCTAGCGATTGAATTTTGATCCCACCGTTGGTGAGACTCACCAGTGAGATTAGGCGGTCGTGAAATGTGTCCAAGGTCTCTGATAATGTCACCAAGGCGTATTGGCTTCTTTAACTTCCAATCGGTAAAAAGGTGTCAGCTATACGGGCACACGTGGGTCTTGTGACACATTTAACTTCGTGTAATTCCCGTGGTAAGTTTGTGTTGCGAAAATATATATTATTCCGGTCGCACAATAGCACTGCATGCCAATATTGTATGAAGAATGGAGAGACAAACTGCGTGGGGTTTCATCATCACCGACTGTCTATCTACTGCTGGATGAAAGTCTCCTGAAGGCCATCACCAATTCTTACGGTTATGCGATTTGGATAATCCATGTAGCTCCTGCCCACAAGTTGATGTCGTGACGAAGATTTCCTCAGTGGTGTTCTCAGTAGATATGTTCCATCTATTGGCTGCCACTCTGTCATTATTCTCTAACGCTAACTATGAACCCTAACCCTCGCGATGTGTCCCTGCCCTAGCCCACTTGCGTTTCCTAAAAGTGAACGCTCAATTGAGAAGGAAATCATTTAAACTTCATATAAATACGATAGTAATTAATAACTTACATTCATCTGTCAATGTACTACTAGATGAAAGGCTCCCCCATGCCGGTCAGTTCGGTGTCGTGAAGGGGCCAAATCCAAGACCCGTTTCTATATCACTTAGCCGTAGGCCGGGAGTCGATCTCGGGCCGGCAGGTTCATAGTGCATTGCGGCAACCACCGCTAAACTTCAAGCACCCCAACGCATTTATTTGCTTTTTTAACGAATAACCCCGTGACCTAGGCTTGCCTTCGACGAAGTGGGGGGGGGGGGGGGGGGGTTGTCCCTCTCGTTGGCTCGTCGGTCGTTGCCTCCGCTCTGAGTGCTTCGAACGCAGAGAGAGAGAGACGGGGAGAGAGGCTCGCGGGAACCATCCCCGCTCGCGCACCGAGAGGCGAGCACGGTGGGGGGGGGGGGAGGATTGGGGGCAGAAACCGACGTGCGCACAGCTTGGCCTTAGCCATCGCAAACAACTTGTCTTTTGGCATCGGCCGCTCCATACTCCCCGCGCCCTCCGCTTGCACGGACAGCGCCCGCTGTTGACCCTGAGTGCCCATCACTTCTCCTTTCGAGCGGCCGCCTTCTGCAGAATTTACAGCCTCGAAGGGACGTGCCGAGGGGCTCTGCTTGCCCCCTGTTATTTTTCGTTACATTTCAGACGGTGAAGCTCTTGTGGGAGGCAAACCAGAGGCAATGTTCCACCCGTGCAGCCTTGAGCAGGCTGATGGGGAAAGCGATTATTCGCGAGCACCTACTTGGGTCGGTGCCTCGCACAAGGGGGTGGGCGGCCAGCACTGCTCCCGGCCGCCTTTGTCTCCCACGTGCCAATGTTTTTACACCATACCACATTATTCATGTAAGGCCGAGTCGACGTAGAGTGGGCCCAGAACCGGTTCAGATGTACGTAACCGACATTGGTCGAAAGCGGGAATCGTAGAGCATCGTGCCAACCGCTTGCAGCACCGCTCAGCGAAATTGCGCGTGCTCGTACCAAGCCATGTAATTTCGATGTCCACATTGAAAAGGGGGTCTCTTGGAACATTTTAATTCAAACCTTCGCCTCGCTGTGCTGTCATGCCACCAGGAGTGGTCTGCTGGACGCCTTCATAATGGACAAAGCGCTGCTGGATTACGAGGTCTCGGTTGATCCCGACTGCCGGCTGCTGCAGGTGGGCAAGCCCTTCGCCATGGAAGGTGAGGACGCCCTCGACACCGTTTTACACAACACAACATGATGATCGGCGTCGTCGGGAAGATCATGAGTAACGCAAGCATGTAGATTGTTGTGATTTTTTTATCCCTTTTATTTTATATACAACCTATCGGCCGCATGGCCTTCTGGGAGTGCATTCATTCAGCAAAGTTGATTCCAGTACATGGAAGACCTCTGGACTCGTTTCGAGACAAAGTGTCTCATCAGTAATCAGTTTACCTGAATCAATGCTCGCGAACGTCCAGATGTACAGTATGAGGCAAGAGCCCTCTTTTTAAAATACTGGGTCCTGGTGTGATGCTATATTATTTAACAGTTCCCCAGAGTTGCATTTAGCAGGACTTACTCTGCCGATGAGATGGTAAATGTCAACGCCGATCGACAGTTTGCTTATATTGAACAAGTGCTGCAGAAAATAATGACTCCCAGAAGGCCACGTGGCTGATGTGATGTGCTAAGAAAGATGTACTTTTATATTTTACGTGAAGGCTTTGGCAAGGAGGGACATCGTCTGCGTGATTCTTGTTTTAACTTATATTCTCCATGACGACGCGAATAGTTATTTTGTGTTATCTTTTATTTAACAGGCCAGGCAGTTATTCAGCTTGACCTTGTTTAATTTTTTTTTAAACTCGAGGTGGGGGAGGGATGACAGAGTGAACGTTGTACACGGTTTAAACGAATGTTCAACGCTAAACAGGATGAGTAACAGTTCAACACGTAGTAGGAGGCGTTCACGACAATATCATCCATAAGAGGTTTTCTACTGGGTTAAATCGCGTAAATATATAAATGTGTCGTTAAAAACCCACCACCACCCGACACAGCCAACTAGTAAGGGTTGTCACGTAAACAGAACGTGCCAATTCGTCACTAGTACAGCACTAGTGTGTAGTGTAGTGTATAGTAGTGTAGTGTATAATGTAGTGTATTGTGTAGTGTATAGTAGTGTAGTGTATAATGTAGTGTATAGTGTAGTGTATTGTAGTGTAGTGTATAATGTAGTGTATAGTGTAGTGCATAGTAGTGTAGTATATAGTAGTGTAGTGTATAATGTTATGTATAGTGTAGTGTATAGTAGTGTAGTGTATAATGTAGTGTATAGTGTAGTGTATAGTAGTGTAGTGTATTGTAGTGTAGTGTATAATGTAGTGTATAGTGTAGTGTATAGTAGTGTAGTATATAGTAGTGTAGTGTATAATGTTATGTATAGTGTAGTGTATAGTAGTGTAGTGTATAATGTAGTGTATAGTGTAGTGTATAGTAGTGTAGTATATAATGTAGTGTATAGTGTAGTATACTAGTACAGCACACCGGTGTGTTGGAGAGCCAAGCCACAACATTTACAATCTGAGTACGACTTTTCGCCAGTAATTACAACTAGCTTCATCAGGCGACACATTTATATATTTACGCGATCTAACCTAAAACACCTCTATTATGGAGGATGAGTAACATTTCCTTCTGCTTTTATCTATCGTACACTCTGCTCTGGCTCTCACCCCCTGTGTGTATATGTCCTACTGGGCATCTGTGAAAAAAAGCCTCATAGCTTATCGTATTCCTCCAGTATAAATATTCTGATTCCGATATGTATCTATGCTGGACTTATTTCGCACCATACATCGCCATCCGTGCGAATCGGAGGTGCGGGGGAAGGAAACCAAACTAAACACAAAAATCATTCGTAAAGAAATGAGTTTTACAACCTCGATGACTTAAAAGCGCAAAGCTCGCGTGACTTCCTAATATCGGAAGGCAGAGCGTTCAAGGCGGCCGCCAAAATCGCATCTGAAAGTGTGCGATGCCGTGACCACCGTCTTTGTTCGATGGCGAGTCAAAAGCCGCCGCCGCCGCCGCTGCTGCTGCTGCGGCGAGGATGAAGGATGTGAGGGAAGGTTTATGAAAACCGCCAGGGTACCACAGGGCGGGAACAATAAGAAATTCGTTGCTGCAATTAATTTGCGAATATTCAAAACAAGTTCGGAGGAAGGATGCATTACTGATGATGATGATAATAATACATATATATAACAAGGCAGATTGTTTAATTACCAACAGATCATCTATTGACTTGTGCAATCTTTGAGATCAATCTTTGCCGATAGCTTTTAGCTGTCTCGTGTGAGCAAATATGAACATGTCGTGACTACGTAATTTTCTACAGCCTTGTTTATTTACTTAGTAACATTTTTCCTCCAGCACCTTGTAGATTATAGACGCTACTTATCAACCTCCTGAGTGGCCAATCTCAAATGTTTGTTGGGTGAATTGTGCTCTAAAAATGTCCAATTTTGCATAAGTCATGCCACTGAAATGCTCGTCCTGTCTTAGTCTTCAGCCGTCCTTGATCCGAGGGTTGGCCGCAACCACGGGCAAATCCTTCTCCACTGACCTCTGTCTTCTGCTATCCTCATTTGTCTGTTCCAGCGTGTGCCTCGTCCTCGGGTTTCCTCGCGCACGTGAACCGGGTATTGTGCCTTGCGAGTGTGATAATTTGACTAGTCTTTCTTCGCACCAGTAATAAGTACCCTCACTAACTCGCTCACTCACCTACCATTTAAGGCCCCAAGACTGGAGGACATTTTCACAATTTTCAGCAAACTGGCTGATGATGCTGATTGCAACTACCAGCAAAACAAACGCAAACACATTTTATATTTTTGGCCCTGCAAACATTTTTTTTTGGGGGGGGGGGGGGGGGGGGGATGGAATAAATAAATCATAGTTTAAATAATTGAAATTTGTTTCTGGGGACCTTTTCAAAGGTTTTCAACATCATAAAAAAGCATTGTTCATTGCGGGCCAAAATTGTGAGCTTCAAGAAAACCGTTTAAAATCGAGGCCTTTACTTGTTCTGCTCTTGTTATTTCAGCGAGACTCACACTGCTCTCCTGAGTTCTCGCCTAGTTAAACAAAATAAAACTGTAACTTGAGGGGAGATATATCAAGGGGGGGAAGGGGGGGGTCAGTGTTACAGAAAAGGTTGGGCTAAGAGGAGGAGGTTTTTGGGACACCATTGAGCTTCGTAGCTCATCGGATTCCTCCAGCATAAATACATATTCCGATTCTGATTCTGACGTGGGAATTGCAACCTGAGCGAAGCCATGCACTGCCCCCTCTTAAAAAATACAGCGCAATATCTAAAATACTCGACACATCCGTCAATAGCACTGTGGCCTTAAAATGTTACATTTCTATTCGACGAAATTTTTTGCAATGGCCCTTCTTCTTAGCACACAAATAGAGATGCCAGAGAGTGAGAGATAGAGTGGATGGTAAGAGTTGGAGACTTGCTTACAGCAGCGGGCCTGATGAGAATTAAAACTTTAATGCTTTCTGATGACCATTTTTTTTTCTGAAGCTAATAGTCGCTTTTGCAATAATTCATGTAAATATTTAATCTTAGCTCGTTCCATTCCATAATGAATTACTTCTCGGCCCAGCAATCTGCGTGTCCCCATGTTCGCAACGCAAGATAATTACGCGGCGCGTAAACATTTACTGCATACACGTGACTCGTGATGAAGATGATGATGATGGTGATGACGGTGGTGGTGGTGGTGTTGGCAACGCCATCCGCGGGCGTCACATTTCACGTATCATATTACGTGCGTACGCACAAGCAATCGGCGTACGTGGGTGGACGCGCGTGAACTCTGCTCGCTCACTGCGAGTTGTTAATTGTTGAGCTCTGCAGCTTCGGGCATCAATTGCAACGCCGAATTCCCGGCAAACTCGCGGTGTGGTTTTATTTCATTTGACTATTTCATTTTCATGTACGTAGCGCCCTTGCCCTGCCGAGCTGCGTAGCGCATTCTATCCTTGAAGTTGTCATTGCACTCAGTGGTTATTTTCACGACGCTCTGTTAAATCATATTTGCTTGCATTATTATTGTGATTGTATTTTCGTATTTCATCCAGAGGGCTAACCCCCCCCCCCCCCAAATCCCCTTCCCCGCCCTGTTTATGTTTTGCGCCGATAGTTTTTTGTGCATTTAAATGAGATATTGTATCGCGCTAAGCTCTTATCTTTCTCCATGAAGAAAGCAATTCATTTGTGACTCATATTGACATCGTGGGTGCTTTCGCTATAATTGAGATGTATCGTTTGAGCATGGGAACAGGGGAGATTGTCATGCTACACGAGAGTGCTATTTTTAGACTTTTTTTATAAAAAATAATGTAGAATGATTAGGCACATTTTCCAATTGATTAATGCCGTTTGAAAACCTGTCTTCATTTTTTTTACCACAAAATAGCCGTCAAATCATGCACTGTATGATGATTTCACAGAGGCCCGAACCTCTGACGTGATTTGGTGTCGGGACGCAATCGGAGATAAACTGTGAACAAGTAACGGCGTGCATCCCTTTCGTCCAACCGCTGCTAGATGGAGGCCTCGCCACGCCGTGATGGTCGAGGAGGTTTTTTGACCTACTTCACCCACACTGACCGGTGAAAGCCGGCGAACGTGGCGGTCGGGCTAGGACTGGTTCCCGCTTCAGCTGTCACTCGCCACCAATGTTAGCCAGGAATCAAAGTCACGTGACCAGGCTCGGGAGGTCAGCGTGCTAACCACTGGTCCACCGCTCGACCGTCCATTAGTCCGTCTAGGTATGCATCGAATAATGATGTTAAATACATTCTTATGCTCACGAGGAATTCATCCAAAATTCATCCAGATGATATCTTAGTTTACACCATTGGAACCTCATTTGCCAGTAAAAAATATGATAATTGTTTTTTTACCCTTGTATCTGGCAACAAAACTGACACCTTTTTTACAAGGAGTCATGTTTGCATAGACCACAATACCTGCAGCCATAATGCAAAAAAAAGTGTCAGTTTTGTTGCCAGATAGAAGGGTAAAAAAAAATTATCATATTTTTTACTGGCAAATGAGGTTCCAATGGTGTAAATGCTTACCCCGAGCTCTCATACTCTGATGGTGCATTGTTTTTGAGTTTTGCGCCTTTTGGCGTCATCTGGTCCAACCCATGTGAGACTAGGCTCTAAGGAAAGCTGTCTCGGGTGTGGACCAATAAACTTCAAGGACAGTGCATATATTATCATAGTTATATTTTTTGTTTGCATTATGGCTGCAGGTATTGTGGTGTATGCAAACATGACTCCTTGTAAAAAAGGTGTCAGTTTTGTTGTCAGATAGAAGGGTAAAAAAACAATTATGATGTCTTAGTTGTGTAATGTGCGTGCTCATGTTACACTCTTCAAACATGTGAAACGGACAGAGTGAATAGAACCGTACAAACGACGGAACGAATTACAAACAATACGAATGAGTTCTAGATTTTAAGCTTTCGTGACTGCAAGGATTCATACTCGTAGGTTTTTTCGGTAAAGTCACGTAGGTAAAAAATACTCACTTGATACAGTAAATCTAGCTGTGACGGTCCCACCTGATGACGGAGACTTGTGTTGCCTCCGAAACGTCGTGATTTATTATTTTATTTTATTTCTATTATTACTTTTATAAATTTTAATTTTATCTTTTACCTACGTGACTTTACCGAAAAAACCTAAGAGTATGAATACGAATGAGATGACATCCTCCATCACGAAGGTGCACATGGGAATGACTTCATCCAGCAGCGGATTGAAACATGGCTGAACATAACATGTGTTATTAAGACAGGTGTATCTATTCGCGTGATTTGGCTGAGCATATGTTTTAACAACATCTGTTTATGGAAAATCCTGTTCATACTTCGCAATAATACTCACTCATTTGTCACCTTAAATGATTCCAAGGTTCAAAGCCGGTGCAAAGTTACGATCTCAAATTAATAATTCAGTCAATCTGCATGCCCTCTCTGCTACTCCCGTGTCATCTGTTGTTGCAAATCAATGGTCTTAGTTCAATCACCAATCACTGGAACAACTGCAAAAAATAATCACTCAAAATACTGTGTATATTTTTTGTTGGGGAGTTCTTAATCCTACCACGCATGAATAATTAAAAGCAAAAAAAGTAATCAATAAAGTATTGGATTCATTTAGATTTCACGAGTGACGTGAAAATGATCCAAACGTGTAAGAACAATCATACCATTTCATAGCAGTCGTATAAATCATTGCGGTCCACCACAGTTGTATCGTGAGCTACGATGAGAGGGTTCATTCACAACCCAGCTGAAGCCGAGCATTTATTAACGTGCTCCATCACCTTCTAAGCATTAGATGAGACAATCGTGCCGAATTTCGATGTAAAGCTTTCGTGACTGCAGGGATTCATCTTCTTGGTTCTTTCGAGGACGGCTGCTTGCGTTGTGGCCGAAACGTCGTGAGAATTGTTTTATTATGTTTTATTTTTATTATTTTATTAATTCCCTTCTACGTGACTTTACCGAAAGAACCAAGAAGATGAATCGTGCCGAAGTTGCCCGTGTGGGATCTTCACCTTGCGGGGGAGTGGGGGGGGGGGTCTTCGTGCGTTCACGTGAATCGACGCTCCGCTGGATGAAGACCTCGCCAGCAGACATCGTGTGGGTGGTGGAATTCCCACATTCCCTGCGCCAGCGGGACGTAGTCGTCTTTTTCCTTTTGTATCACGAGGCAGCCAACTCTTGAATTCCCATGAGTTATGCACGTGTTCTCGTTGGTGTCTGCCCCACGGGAAAAAAAATTATTGACCCCTGGCCGGAATTTGAACTCCCATCGTGGAAATAATCCGGTTTTGTTAAGGAAACTGACATACCTATAGCCACTGTCCTGTACATCCCTTTACACTCTCTGATCGTGCCATCTGAATTCCCTCCCCCAGTGTTGTGCTTCTCCCTGGCTGTTTGAACGCATTCCCCCAGTGTTGTGCTGCTCACTGGCTGTGGTTTAAACCTCACCTCAAGATCCAGTTATTTATTTATTGCTTTAGGTTCTCTCAATTTGATTCTATACTTCTTAGTGTTTCCTCCCCTTGGGTAATATTTCATTTATTTATGTCTTGGCATTTACAGCACCTTGAGTGGCTTGCATCGAGGTGCTTTGTGAATGCGATTTATTGTTATCAACAGCGCTCTGGTTACTTGCAAGATAGCTGCCGCAGAATTATAGCTTACATGTTTCTAGGTTTATAATGAAATTCCCGACGAAAACTTGAAAATTGAGGAACCATTTAATATCACGGACGTCGAAAAGCTCTTTTGGAAATCAACAAAAGTTGCATTCATGATTGTGACCTGACGAGGATTTGTTTTTCTGGAGCATCCGACTATCGCGGGCCACGAATCAATCGCGAATCTCTTCAAGTGGAGAATGCCCACGCGCGCACACAATGGATGATCTTGACCCAAAATGCGCCTCCGTCCACATTGTGTCATTTATCCTAATCCTCTGTTTTATTTACGTCGCGTCAGCCCCGCGCGTAATGGATGTTGAACGTGCGGCGTTCCCACCACCCCCCGCCGCCGGCTTCATTCTCTCTCCGGAAGAGGGAGAGCTACGCCACGGGCCGGTCGTCGGACACGACGGACGGACGGGCGGGCAGAGGGATGGAGAGACGCGATCGACAAACGTGCTGAGAGAGATGGAGAGAGGGACGCACGGGCGGACAGAGACATGTGTCCGGCTGGACGTCTGTGAAAAGAGCTTCTAGCTCATTGGATTCCTCCGTTATTAATAAGTATTCCTATACTGATATACAGAGACGGATTGACAAATGTGCAGAAATGCGGAGAGACAGACTGAAATGTGATGAGAGCGATGTTCAGGTACACACGTATTTACGCTGACACGGAGACAGACGTTTAGAGACATATATATATATACAGACATATGACAATATAGACAGAGTTGTGAAGATATAGAAAGGCAGAGACACAGACATGAATGTGAATTTATACACTAAAATGTGAACTTCCAGACATGCGAGATAGGTAACAGCAATTTGCAAGCGTAGGATTTGACTCATCTCCCATATGAGAGGTCATAAAAAATAAAATGAATCAGAATTCAAGAAAACAATAGCTGAACACTCATCCGTGGAAGCGACGGCAGATTTAGCCTCAGCAGTCTCATCGTTGGTTCCGTAAGTCAGAATTGGAATATTTTTTCTTAAAACTGGGGGATGAATCTGATGAGCTAAAAAGCTCTTTTTCACAGGTGTCCAGTCGGAGCAGGTCCAGAATGTTCTCCCACGCCTCAAAATGTCCTTTTCACGTTCAATGTGTATGTGCCACAAGATATGTTTTTTTACTCACGGAGGAATGCGGGGGAGGAATCCAGAGGCAGGGGTTTGGGGAGATCTCAAAACGCTCAAATTGACCACGAGGATCGCTTCGTTCAATGTTTCCACCGGCGGGCGAACTGAAACAAACGATAACAATTGGCGGCGCCGTTAAACACTCGCTCGCGTGGAAATGTAATCCTGTTTTAGGAGGGTTCGTAATGTCACGAAATTGAGGTGACGTCGTTCGTGCGTCCAAACCGAAATTTCCGGAAAAAATAAAATTTTTACGATATGCAGAGTGCTTCAAAAAAATGTCAACATTTCTGAGAATTTGCAACAATACCACAAGAAATGTGCCTCCGGGCTCTGGAGACCACCTGGAGAAGATTCTGGGCACGCGTTGACAATGATGGAGAACAAGTGGAGATTTTTCGATTTAAAGCTTTCGTGACTGCAGGGATTCATCTTCTTGGTTCTTTCGGTAAAGTCACGTAGAAGGGAAGTAATAAAATAATAAAAATAAGCATAATAAATAATTCTCACGACGTTTCGGCCACAACGCAACCTGAGGACGGCTGCTTGCGTTGTGGCCGAAACGTTGTGAAAATTATTTTATTATGTTTTATTTTTATTATTTTATTACTTCCCTTCTACGTGACTTTACCGAAAGAGCCAAGAAGAGAAAAAAAACAAGTGGAGACTTTGACTTTTTGAGGCTATTAACATACGTAACGTTACAGTGTAGAATCCGTTTCTTTTCCCATTAAAAATGATAGTCCCATGTGAGTGTTAACATTTTTTTGCAGCACTCTGTGTATACTTAAAATAAAAATCGCATCATGTCAATTTCGGATACGCGCGAATTCACCAGAATCTCCGCACTCGCCGTGGTGTGCCGCTTCCGACACTGCCCTGGAGCATGCGTTACGGTCGCACACAAAACAATTTGGGGCGACACCAATTTCGTTTGAATCTTCATATTTTTATTGTTGAACTTTTTATTTAGGGCGATTCCGCCACGGTACGATGGTTAGTTCGCACACCGCTCACTGTGCCTTCGGTTCCATCTCATGGCGAGGCAATTGCAACAATGATGCAAGGTTCTTAAATTCTAGATTTGAAGCTTTCGTGACTGCAAAGATTCATACTCTTAGGTTTTTTCGGTAAAGTCACGTAGGTAAAAAATAAATAATAAAAATAATAGAAGAAATAATAGAAATACAATAGTAAATCACAGGTTCTTAAATCTCTTTCCGTGATCCCAAATGGCCTCGATCGGTCCCTGGCGTTAAGGGCGTATCGCTGTTACACGCTCGCGACCTGTTGTTTCCCTCCTCCTCAGAGTTTCGCTTGTATTCTGGGTCCCTGATAAACAATTAAAAATAAAGACGAAAATCAAATCTCCCCGGCTCTGGCCACCGAGCGGTAAAAATAGGGTGCACCACGACTTAGTCGATCGGCAGGTTTCCGTTTGGTGGGGTAGAGTGTGGGTACTTGCGACCTATTCCAAGACGTGTGGCCAGTGTGGAAGAGTAGCCAAACTGCCCCTTCTAGTGGGATTCTGTTCGAGTTCACTTCCACCAGAAGTGGCACGGCTGCACCTTTGCCGCTCACACTCGCGTCTATTTAAAAACAATATCCGCACGCGTAGCGGCGGCGAGCAATTGCGGGGCCGCACCTTAACCCTGCACCAGATTTTACGACAATTTTTGTTTTGCATTACCGCCTTCTTTCCCTTTTGCCGCTGCAGAATACGGGATCGGACTGAGAAAGGGATCTGGGCTGACGGCCAACATCTCGGACCTGATTCAAACGTACAGGCTCAACGGGGACCTGGGTGCCCTGCACGACAAGTGGTACAAGCCGGGTCCCTGTGGGCAACACGGACTCAAATCAAAGGATGTGAGTATTGGGGGGGGGAGCCCCCCCCCCCCTCACGTGGTGGGAGCCCCCCTCTTGCCCCCCACCCAACACCCCAATACCTCCCCCCACCCTCACATAACACAGTTGTGTCCCGCGGCGCTCATTCTTATTATTTTTTGCCGCTGTGATTCCGCGAGACTTTAAATGTGATCACCGGGCCGGCGTGATGGGGTTCGCATTGTGGTTCTGTGCGAAATGGACTGGAGACTGAGAGAGTGTGAGCGAGGGTTTGTGTCTGTTGCGGTTGTCGGATGGTTGTGATGCTTGCTGCTACTGCTGGTGGTGGTGGTGCTGTCGATTTGACGGCGACACCACCAGCAGATTCGGAAGGCTCTGCCTGGAGAACTCTGCGCCTGACCGCTGAGATTCTCCCGTTTAGAAATAAACTAAAAACCAACGCTTAGTTTCTATCATATGTGAGATGAACTGGATTTTTTTCTTCCAATACATTTCATTGTACGGCGCTCCAAGGCCTTTGTTGTGTCTGCTGCGTCTTATTAAAAACGTAAATAGATCAAATAAAAACTGTTATTATTTAATGATGAAAAAATAAGTCAAAGATGGTGATGGTAGTCGGTGGTGGCATTGGCCGATTGATGATGATGACGATGATGGTGATGATGATGCACTACAGAATGATTATGATGATGATGCACCACAGAATGATCATGATGATGATAATGATGCACCACAGAATGATGATGATAATGAAAACTGTTGGTAGTGGTGATGGTGGTGTATGACTGATGATGATGCTGCAATACAGAATGGTGACGATGTGGCAAGTGATAATGGTGGGAGTTGATTCATAATTATTAGTAGTGGTGGTGATTGACGAAATGTGGATGGCGATGATAATGATGGTGCAGTGAACAATTATGATGATGGTGGTAATGGTGATGGTGCTTAATTTATGATTATAATGATGCTGATGATGATGACAGTCATGGTGGTGGTGGTTGGCTGATGCTGAACTACAGAATGATGATGACGACGATGGTGTCATTAATGTTATTAGCGATGTTAATCGGTAATAATTGTGTAGTGCCATATGACGTCACTACTATGTCGTGACTGTACGAGCGTAGGGACACATGACGTCACTACCGTGGGAGCTCTCGGCGGGTGTCACGGGGAGCGTGTCAGGCCGTGGCACTCCTCGTGAACCCAACAGGACACGTGACCGAATAACGGGGGGGGGCAGGGGCCCCAGGGGGAAGCTTGGGTGTCACGTGGTTGGGGGCCCAGACCTTCCGGAAGGATCGAGAAGGGGGGCGTTGCCTGGGGTGGAGCCGGCCACGCCCGAGTGGTTATAAGTTATAAGCGGGGTGTGAACGGGGAGCTGGGCTGTTCTACTCCGGGATGAAGACGCCATGAGACGTCCTCAAGTCTCTGATCGTCGTTCGTGACCAGGCAGCAGTCACCTGCCTTGGTCACGCTGTGCAGTGTTCCCCGAGTGTTAGTGAGATTAGTAACGGTGGTTCTACCTTGTGTCTAGTGTTCACGTTGGTGTTATGTGTTAATAAATAGTGTTGGCTCCAAATCGAGTGCGCGCCTCAGTCGAACCCATTACAACTGTGGGCCGTCCATAAATGACGTCACGCGATTTTAGACGATTTTTGACCCCCCCCTGCCTTCGTCACACAGCATCACAAAAAGTCAGACCCCCCTAAAATATGACGTCACAAAGCTCTGCCCCACCCCCCAAAAAACAACATGCTTCAAATCTATTTAAGCTATTGTCATTGTAGTGCGTATTTAATGTGGCGCTGCACTCTGATGTTGTAGGAGAAACATTTACTAAAAAGTCTTTAATTAAGTAGAACGTGTCTATATTTATTTTAAAGTTGCGCATTTTGATGTGACGTCACATTTCTCACCCCCCCCCCAATCGTCACACATCGTCACAAATATCTGACCCCCACCCCCCGAGGTGCGTGACGTCATTTATGGACGGCCCCTGTATACACCGGTCTTTTATCACCACAGGAACGTTTCACGATGGGTGCGGTGATCACGTCAATGGCAAAAAAAACATCGTGACCGTTGACAAAACAACGAGACGTGCATTTGACAAGAACCAGTTCCAGCGAAATAATGAACTTGGCCCCTGAACACGACATCGGCGTGCTGCTTGTCATAAAGCGCAAATCAGGAGGGACCGACTTGTGGGATAAGCAATGACAACGTCGATAAAAGCACACGCAAAACAAAAACTGACACAGAAAAAGACAAAGACCCCCCCCCCCCCCCGTGTAGCCTTATCAGACTGTTTTGGACAAGTGCTGTTAGCGAGTAGCGCCTATAACGGCCGGCACGGCACACGAGGTTGGCGGCCAGCACCACGCCCGACCGCCTTTGTCTCCCTAGTGGTGATGTTTACACACCGCACCACGTACTCATTTGAGGCTGAGTCGACCTGGAGGAATGCCCAGGACCGGTTCAGAAAATTGCTGTTGGCCGTGAGCGCGAATCGAACTCGGGTCTTCCCGGTTCGTAGCGCTGCTACACCGCCGTTTCCCTTGCACACACGAGCAGACCCCCCCCCCCACCACCCAGGTAAATCCGCGCGCTCTCCCTTTGCCGTTCAGAGCCAGCACATGGGACTGAAGCATTTGCTGGGACTCTTCATCTTCCTGTGCGTCGGGGCGGCTGCGGCCCTGCTGACCGCAGTCGTCGAGCAGCTGATGCATCGCTTCGGCCTCCAGAGGCAGAGGCGAGCGTCTGGCAAGTCCATGTCGGGCCACTACACCAGCCAGGTAACCGATATCAATAATAACAATAACAATGCTAATCTATAATTGGTGTCAATTGAAGCGTATCTTTAGTTTTAAGTAACATGGGGAGGTTGTTGTTGTTGTTGTGAATCTGCCGTTGGCTAAGGTGCCTGAGTGCAGATAAGAAACGACTGGGCAGGTTTCTTCGAAAAACACTGCCCTGAATGAAAAATTGATGAACGTGTTGATTTTTTGTTAAGAGACGCACGCATCGTTTACAGAATGAGTCGATGGTTGTACACGCACGCACACACACACACATGCGCGCGCATGAAACTGTAATGCAGCATCGTCGTTGGTGCGTGGCATTTTATTAGGCATTTCTGCCTTATCGAGGGAAAGTGCACTAGTTGTTCTCATCTGAATTACGGTCCTAATTGGCTGACTTACTTTTAATTTTCTCCTGGGATTTGTCCAGCTCATGCGGGGATCTTGGCTGCCTTCCCACCATCACGCGAACTTACGGTCATCCTCTTAGCAGCGGCTTTTGGCTGGCCATCGAACAAAGACGATCACGGCATCGTGCACTTTCAGATGCGCTTCTGCAGCCGTCTGGAATGCTCTTTCCTCTGATATTAGAAAACCACTGGAGCTATACAATGTTTTCAATCTAGATTAAAAATTATTTTTTAGAACTGCTTTTCGTGTTAAGTTTGTTGCCCTTCGCCCGCACATCTGATGAGCACGGTTAGCTACGTATGGTGCAAATTAAGTTCAACAATCACCACTCATTCATCTCAAAGCCCACTCCACAGTCCTTCACATCCTGGTTGACCACTCTGATCCACCTCTATCTAGGCCCTGCCTCTCGGTCTTCGTCCTGATAACTCCACGTTCATCATCTGCCTGGGATGCCACATCCCAGTCATCCGAATCGATTTCATAATCGGTCGGCATACTATGCCCAAGTAAAAAGCCCCCCCCCCCTCCCCACCGCGATTATATGAAATATTCTACCTGAGTTTGCATTGTGCAGACTTTATAACACAATCTGTGGTGGACCTCCCAATCTTCTGGGCGGCTGGAGGGTACTGCCAGGTTTATTCCCAATCTGCTGGGCAATGTTTCCAAGTCTAATCCCAACTGAGTTATTTCCAGGTAACGATTCAGCATTGGGATGTTTGGCCAAGACCAAGTTCCATTGCGTGGTGCTCCTTTTATAGCTACAGGAGGGAACCGGAGAACCCGGAGGAAACACGTGAAGAAATAATGAGGGGGAGAGAACACACTCTTAGGTTTTTTCGGTAAAGTCACGTAGGTAAAAATAAAATTAATAAAAGTAAAATAAAAATCACGACGTTTCGGAGGCAACACAAGCTTCCGTCTTCAGGTGGAACCGTCACAGCACGATTGCTGTATCAAGTAAGAGACATTCTAAGAGACCCGTCCTTGTATATATACTGGTTGAGGGTGGGAGGAGCCAAGGTAGGCACCTGGATCGGAGTTTTGTATTATTATTGTGAGGTTGGTGCGGCTGAGGCTGCTGCTAGGAATGAGCCTTTGTTGTGTAGACTCGTTGAACTGGGAGGTGCCAGGGTTGTTAAGGTGCGGCTGCTGTAAATGGGACTGAGCCTTTGTTGTGTAGACTCGTTGAACTGGGAGGTGCCAGGGTTGTTAAGGTGCGGTTGCTGTATATGGGACTGAGCCTTTGTTGTGTAGACTGGTTGAACTGGGAGGTGCCAGGGTTGTTAAGGTGCGGCTGCTGTAAATGGGACTGAGCCTTTGTTGTGTAGACTGGTTGAACTGGGAGGAGCCAGGGTTGTTAAGGTGCGGCTGCTGTATATGGGACTGAGCCTTTGTTATGGGGAGAGAACACACAACAAACTGCAACGCAAACCAGCGCCCGGGTCGGGCATCGAACCCAGGTGGTTCTTGCTGCGAGGCGCACGTGTCATCACTGCGTCACGCCGGCGCTCACCTCTGTTCGCCTCCATGAGCCCCTTGTTCCTATGGCAGGGGACAAGTCCATCCATAAGATCACCGCAGGGAATGTCCCACCTTGGTCCTGGCGTACATTAAGTTGAAGTAAATTACATTACATTTTAATATCGCGTTTATTCAGTGCAACAAACAAGGGGATTGATAACCTATTTGTATGGATTTTCGAGAATCCATTTGTGTGTGGGGGCTTTCTAAAGGTACCTTATGTATATTGTACCAGTTATGGTGGAATGATATTGCCTCTGTGGTACATTCTTCATCCCTGCCACCGCAATAATATTTCATTTCATTGATCGATTCTCTAATGGCCAGTCGTTACGACAATTGTTTTTTAGAGACCATTAACGCAGACAGCTTATATAGCACATTACGCTAATTATATTTTAATTAACCTGAATTATTTCATTTTAAAACTGCCGCTTGGCGCAGTTAATAGATCACTCGTATTTTTTTTTTACTTCATGCTATTTGCTCTTTCTAAAACAATATCGCTCGGCGGTTCAGTATATCTCTCATATTATTTTTAATTTCGAAGCGTTCCCTTTTCTTCGCGTGCCATTGTGCGTCTCGCATTTTATTTTCTGCGACCCACGTTGCCGGAAAGCAGGGTCGCCGCAGTGCTTTTGGAGGAACTGAAACTTTGAGAATTAATTTGCGCCCATGGAGAGGGGCAAACGTTCGCGCTCAGCGTGCAACGACAGCGCTGCTTCGATTGAAAATTATTCTTCGAAAGAAAACAAAAACTGAGTTCGCTCGTGAAATACCGACGGAACGAAATCTCGCAGAAGTGCCCAAATAGGCTTGGAGAGGCACACGCTCAGAGTTACGCTGAGAAGCGGACAAAGGAATTCACGGATAAAGCAAACGTGCAGGAGTTTAGGGTCGTCGTTCATCCCAATTACGAAATAAATTCGGCCTTGGGCAGGACGCGCGTCACGGCACGAAGGGACCATGGCCGATGGTCGAGACTGATAGCGGAGCGGCGGTGGAGGAATGGAACGCGCTGGAGGGGATCTCGAGCATGTAGATGGAGCGATGAAATCAGCTCACGCCGCAGGCGCTGCGTGGCTTGTCAGATCGCAGAATAATGAGATTTGACAACAGCGTGGGGAGACACTCATTCAGCAGTGGATTGATCGTGGCCGATGATGACGATGGTGACATTTCACGCGTTTTAAATCTCCTTTTGCAAAAGAAAACGTTTGCCTCAATGCCCTCTCACGTGGTTATGCGTAAGGGGGACCTTGTCTAATTGCTGATTCGGAGCGGTTGTCAAGAAGTGTGGCCCGGAGTGGTATTCTAAAGGGTGTGCGAGACACGCACAGGAGTGAGAGACATAGAGAGAGAGAGAGAGGAATGGGCAGGCATCACTCGCTCGCGCAAATCGTCCTAATCATGTGAACGCTGCCTGCTCCCGCTCTGTGACAGAGCTTCCACGTGACGCTCGACTCCCCCGAGGCCAAGACGCCACAGACCCAGCTGCATCACAACACCGAGATGAACAACAGCAGGTATCGTGCACCCCCCCCCCCCCCCCCCCCCCCCCAGCTTACCGGCCTCTTCCGAGCACGATCACAAGTCACACACGCCCGCCGATTCTGTGTCCACGACTCTCAGAGCCGTAGCGAGACTTTGGTTGGCACTCCGGGGCAAGGTGCCATCCTTGCATCCCCCCCCCCCATCCCTCCCCACCCCTCCCACCAACAATCGGGCTCCCCATTCAAGCGGTACCCCCCATCACCTCTCGGGAGGGATGCCTGAGGCAGTCCACCGGGCCGGCCCCATCCTTGCTAAGGCACTAATGACCTCACTTGACAACCTGGCTGATGCATATCCTGGCCTGTGTACCCAATATGGTCGCAATGGGGACACTTTGAAAGCGCATCCTCTTGGGTCACACTCGTAACTGATTTTCGTTCACGGGATTTGTTTGCCAATGAGCACTCCTTCCAGGTCCTTGCTCACCTCTTTATTTCATGATTTTCATTCCGATACATTCTCATCTAATTGCCCTGGGTATAGACTGAATATGCACATTCTGCTGCATTTTCAAATCTGTGTCCAGCCCATGATTATTTTACGTGGTTTTATAATATAGTACACCTTCCACATCACGAGTACTCTGTGTTTTAGCCCACAGGCCACATCACGTGTCACTCCGCTAATGTAATGCGAGGGCATAGCAGCGGCAGCGGTTTAACCCCGAAAGCCGGGCACATCTTGCGCTGAAAATACACATCCTGTTTGAGTGAGCAACGTGCCTTGTTTTCGAAAGAAAACAAAGCAAGCCACGAATCAAGAGTAATTAAGAGTCCTTGGCTGATGTAAATTCCCACATGATGACTGGACACTTTGTTGAGCTATCATTTGTGGCCAGGTCGCTTTTGAAAAAGAGCTATACAGCTCAGGGGGGCCTTACCTGGTAAAATATTATTAGTTTATAGTTTTTGTTTTAATAGCTTGTACCTCAACAGCTAAAAGCACATCGGTTCAATTTCGATTTAAAGCTTTCGTGACTGCAGGGATTCATCTTCTTGGTTCTTTCGGTAAAGTCACATAGAAGGGAAGTAATAAAATAATAAAAATATAACATAATAAAATAATTCTCACAATTTATTATTTTATTACTTCCCTTCTACGTGACTTTACCGAAAGAACCAAGAAGACACATCGGTTCAGTTCCCGAATTGTGTGCTGGTCCGTTTGGAGTCTGTAGTGAAACACTCTCCTGGTGTGCATTGAGAGTCTGTGTGATAAAGTGGAGGGGGGGTGATCCCGACCTCATGGTGCTAAATTGCGAACGTTATCAGCACCACTGAGTGGACAGGGGCACCCAATCCCAACAGCTCGTGGGTGTGACGTGGAGTGCGGTCGGCGGGGAGCTGTCAGTCGGGGCAGCGTGAACTTGGCAGCTACGAGGCTGTCGGTTTGGGGCAATTACGGGAGTGTGAGAGTCGAGATAAAAGGAGGCGAAATAGCAGTTTGGAGGCAGTTAAGCCTGGAGAGGAGAGGGAGCGGATGGGTTGTGAGAGCTCCGTAGGAAGTTGCGGGATATATAAGCATAGGGGTGTAAACAACAAGCTACCGATTGTTTCATTTGTGAAGCGATATATTTGATTAAATTGTGTTACCCATTCTGGGTGCAAAACATACACGATTGTCAGAGTCTTCTCTGACTGTTAATGTATAGCAACGTTTAGACGACGTTACATTTGTATGCCCTCTGCCCCTGTATTTCTTCATGGGTTTCCTCCAGGTTGTTCGGTTTCCTCCTGTAGTTGTTGTGAACTTCTTTCGCACCGTACATAGCCATGCGTGGTAATCGTAGGTGCGGGAAAAAAATAAGAACGATTCACTGTAACTGCTATTGGCCAAACATTCCAATACCGGAAAGTTACCTGGAAATTACTCATTTGGGAATAGATTTTTTTATTTTGTTTTACCAGGGAAGACATTTGACCAGAAACAATAGGTCAACGGACATCGCCCCCTTGCTGCCAATAAACCTGGCAGGACCCTCCTAAAAAAGAGTCGTTGTACTCAGTGAGGCTTTCTTGGGTAAACAAGTAAAAAAGATAGAAAAAATATACAAAAAAACGTCGTAATATTTGTTTTTTAAACTTTTTTTTCCATGAATCATTTACACGTAATTTGACTAAGCCAACGACGTATGCTTTGAGGATGTTTTATTTGATATTCTATATTTATATATTTGTGCGGTGTGTTTTTATTTCCCCTGCTATGCGGTCGTTCGGCTCCTGCGTTTGTTTGATGTCCCCCATCGTGCGTATTCCGCTTCATGGCCCTTTGTCCCCTTCTGGTGACCCCGGGGTCACTCCCACAAATGAGACCATCCCTGACCAGTCTCTTAAATTATCGCTGGGTCTAAACAAAACAACAATAAACCAAAGTAATGGTTTAACACTGCCATTAATTGTCACAATTACATCTCATGCACACCTGCCTCTTGCCGCGACAGCATTGTTGTTGTTGTTGTTGTAACAATCCCTTACAAAATGTATCTACTGTATTTGGTGTTGGAACATTTTAACACCTGTGTTTCGTTGCCAGAAAGGGGTAAAACCCATTCAGATATTTCACACTTTGATACTGCCAAAAAAGGTCCCACGATATATGTGTATTTATTTATTTTATGCAGCGTCATTCATGCTGATAGCATCCCACAACGCTGTACGTTAATTATATATAAGGACTTTATCTAATTGTCAATCCACCGCTCAATGAGCGCCTTTCTGCAGACTAATTGCGGGTCATGGAGACTATTATCTCTGTAATTTTTGAAACAGACGTCATCGAGAGTCAAACATTACAAAGGCAAACACACGTAATTGTTTCGTAATATAATTTGGCTTTATACATATGTATTATTTACATATTTTATTTCGTGTTGATGAACTATTGCTGCCGTGTCTGTCTGCTGGCCGAGTCACCCTTGAAAAAAGAGAGTCCTCTAGCTCAATGGGTAATTTACTTGGATGATGAACTCCTGATTCTGATTTGACCACACTTCACCACGCTGGTCAGTGCGAGTTGGTGAAGATATGGAACATAGCTCGTGAAAGCGTAGAGTACAACAGTGGACTTGCCTACACTGTCCCTCTGTTGCCTACCACGTGTTCGCGAGTAGCACCGATAGAGGCCGGCACGGTACGTGAGGGGGTAGGTGGCCAGCACCACGCCCGACTATCTTTGTCTCCAAAGTGGTAATGAACACACACCACATCCAGTACTCATTTGAGGCTGAGTCGACCCAGGGGAGGCCTAGGACACGGTTCAAATAATCGTCACTGCTGTTGGCTGTGATCGGGAATTGAACCCGGGTCGCCGGATTCGTAGCACAGTGCGCTAACCGCTACACCACCACTCCACACAAAACAAGATCCCCCATATAGCCTTGACAGATTGGTGGGGCAAGTGCTGTTATCGAGCACCTATAAAGGCCGGCATAGCACATGAGGGGATGGGTGGCCAGCACCACGCACGACCGCCGTTGTCTCCCCAGTGGCGATGTCCCCACAAACGCAAACGAACGTGCGTTTCTCCGCGACAGGACCGTGTACCGCGACCTGACCCTCGTCCCCGACAGCGCAGAGTTCGACTCCGACGCCCTGCAGCGCACGTTTCCCCGCCGCTCCAGCAAGCAGCAGCAACAGCAGCATCAGCTACAGCAGCAGCAGCTGCAGCTGCAGCGCCACGCGTACCGCGAGACCCTCCTCGCCAGCGCGTCCGCCCCTCGCCGGGCGGCCGCCCTGGGCCACGGCCGCTACGCCGGCTCCAAGGCGTCGTGGGGCCATCGGCTATCGGCACCCAAGCGGAACCCGGCGGTGGCTTCCGCGGCGGCGGCCCCGTCGCCAGACTCGGGTTCGCCGGCGGCGATCGCTTCGTCCGCGAGCGCCACTCCCGTTGCGTTTCAGCAGCAGCAGCATCAGCGGCAGAGACAGGGCTTCCTGCCGGCCGACGGACACGTGTCGGTGCTGCGCGAGCTGTCAGAGCTCGACTGCGAGATCGAGCAGATCAAGGAGCAGCTGCGGCGCGTGACGACGCGGAGGGAGGAGCTCGTGTTGCTGATGGACCAGCTCAAAAACTCCAAACTCTGAGCGCGGCTTATACCCGCGCGGTCACGCGCTGATGCTGCTGCTGCTGCTGGTGGCGGTGGTCGCTGGACGTATCGAGACTATGGACCCAGTAGGGAGCCCTCCGATTGTTTTTTTTTTTCAGGGTTGTCCGATGTTTTTGCTGCGAACGTTCCGGAAGGCCGGGGAGCTTCTTCGGGAACTGAGAGGAAGCACGTCTCGCTGTTCGGCACGACGCCCGACACGTCTCGCTCTGCCCGCAGAGTTACCAAAGCGCTCGGTTCCTGAACAAGGTCCCGGCACGTGTGGAGCAAAACGTCGGACGTCGCGCCAAACAGTGCGCGGTACGATACCGAAGGCAAATCGAGAGAGCGGCACAACCGCGACAAGCCACGCAGCAGTGTAACGGACTTTGTGATTTATAATTCACGCTAGCTATTTGTCTCGGAACGATGAAGCCAAGGTTTTTTGGGAAGTTTTGCTGAAGTTTCTCAGATGGAACCCTGGAATATCGATTTGCTTCGCTAGAAGAAGAAAAATAATTGCTAAAAAAAAAGCGATTTTAAAAAAGAATTCTGAAACCTCCCGAAGCTTTTGAGCACTTTATTTTAAGAAAAGCTGTGGAATTAATTTGAATGTTGTTGTTAATAAGGTGGGGGATACACGCATTGGCTGAATAGTACTATACCGTGTATTCTATATGCAAAGGATTAAAAGTAAAAAATGTGCCCAACATATTGGAGTCCATGCCCAGCAGGTGCAGATGACTTCAATATATTAAAAGGAAAATGCTTTAGCATGCAACAGGCAGTACACACTAGGTCTGGTAAATAATTTAAAAAAAGAAAAAAGACAGCTTTAAGCAATCTTAAAAGAAGAAAAAAAGCCATTGCTGCACTTGCCTGGATAACATTGCAATTAAGGCAGGGTTGGAGGATTACGCAAACATCATCGTGTGGTGTTTTTATTTTTCAAATGGAATTCGTGAAAAAAAATATATGGGCGTGTTGATAAATGCATGCCGAGCTTGGAGAAGCCATTTCGATGGCGCTCCGGGCGGCTACCCAGCCGATTCCGTTTTGCATCCCCTGCAAATGCGCCTGTCGGGGGCCAATGATCAGTAGCAGTGCAACGGTTAGCGCACGCGTCGCACTACCAACCAGGCCACCCGAGTTTGATTCCGGCTCACGGCCAACACCAGTGGCGATTATCTCAATCGGTCCTTGGCCTCCGCCTAGGTTGACACTCAGCCTCAAATGAGCACTTGGTGCGGTGTGTGAACATCGCCACTGGGGAGGCAAACGTGGCCGGGCATGGTACTGGCCACCGACCCTCTCGTGTAGCGTGCCGGCCTTCATAGGTGCTACTTGCCCCGACAGTCCGTGGTGTGAGCGGTGGAATCCGCTTCACCGCAGTAATCATTAGAACTCGCATAGACACCCACAGAGAGATGTACGTGCTCACATAGAGAGCCCGCAGTCTCGCACCGTCCGTCGCTCGCCTCGCGGAATAATTTCAACTTGTGACGCACCGCAAACTATTCGCTCGCTCTCGAAGAGGGAGAGAGAGAAAATAACTCGGAGGCACGTAAAAGCACAGACAAGCAGAAAAGGCAGCAAGGCTGTGAGCTGGTGCCAACTATTGCCTAAGCTCTGCAGGCCTCTCTATATTAAGGTGTTATAGGCCAATTAATTAGTGTTTGTATCTATCATGTTGAACTTCTTTCACTCGTAAGTAGTCAACCGTGCTAATCAGAGATGCGCGGGAAAAACAACAAACTAAACACAAAAAGCAGTTCTAAAGATTTTCGTTTTCAATCTGGATGATGCTTTAAAAGTGCATTGCTCAAGTGGCTTCCTAATATCGGAAGGAAGAGCTTTCCAGATGGCCGCCAAAGCGTGCGATGCATTGACCACCGTCTTTGTTCGATGGCGAGCCGAAAGCCGTTGCTGCGAGGATGACCACCGGTGTTTGCGCGATGGAGGCACGAGGAAGCACTTTGTGGTAGGAAACCGGAGCACGCAGAGAAAACTCGCGCGCCTGAAGGGGCAACGCTTGTCTCGTACAGACGGAACAGGTGGGCCCCACGTTTGGTCGACCGCCTTCTTCTGGCAAGCCAGGGTATGGCTCCACCTCGATGCCCACGGGGAGTTTCGCAGAGCGTGCGTGATCCCCCAACCTTCTCCTCCACGGTGGTGCTTCATGAAAGGCCACATGTATAGCCACCGACACTCGGCACGTTTGACATTGTGTTGCGTATTATGGCAAAACATTGAGGCAGATGATTGCTGGCTCCCAAATATATGTATACTACCCGGTTTTGAGTGCTGCATTTTCTAAGACGTACAGAGTTGCCCCCCCCCCCCCCTCGTCTTCTCAGAGGCAAAATGCTCAAAAAGTAATTGGTCAAACTATTTCAATGCAGGACCCTCCTGCAAAAGAGTCTCGAGACTCAGTGGAGAGAGATTTCCTGGGTAAATCTTAATCAGAATCTTTATAGTGGAGGAATACGACGAGCTATAAAGCTATTTTTTTCACAAATGTCCAGTAGGGCGGGCCAGAGAATACTAAGGCTGCGTGGAATATTCGCTTAGTATTCAAACTTGGCCGAATACTGGGTCGGTTTTTATTGTTTCTCATTGCACACTTGGCTGAATTGTAACATGGGCAAACATTCCGAGTCAAATATCTTGAACTGGCCCACGTTTTGGAGGCCACGTGATCATGTCACGTGACCATGGTGGGGGGGGGCAGGTAAGTCGAATGCCTAGGGAATGGGAGCTCCAGATGAGATGCTCATATTTTTGCCAGAAAAACACATTTATTGGTGATATTAGTAAAAAAAAAATATCAAACAGTAAAAATAATACAATTAGAAATTTTACATGATGAAAACTGACAACCAATTAACAGTTCAGATGATACCAGCTAAGGAATCAGGAACGTGTAACAGCAGTGGTTGTTATACGTTCCTTCAGCGAAGGGAGTGGAAGTGGTGGCGCGGCGGTTAGCGCACTGCACCATGAACTTTGTGACCTGCGTTCGATGACCCGGTCACGGCCAACACCGGTGGCGAGTGACGTGTCAACCGGTCCTCAACCCTCTCCCCATCTCCCCCTCAAAAAAATGGCACTAACCAGCGTGGTGAAGTATGGTCGACCGACACGACGAGGAAGGGACCATCATCCAGCAGTGGATAGAGGAAGGGCTGTAATTGGTTAATTGACGAATTATCATTCTCCACGAAATCAAAGTTAATTTGGACATTGTGTTTTTAAGGCACTATTGTGCGTTTTATAGCCACGAACGGCCAGCACTGTGTTTAAAAGGCGTTTAAGCAGTGGCTGTTGCAATTTGAAATGAAACTCTACATATTTTCAGGAAAATTAATCAAAGGCTTCATAATCATCAGTATCCACCAGAGGTTAATGAGCAGTTTACCAAAACATACATATGGGGGGGATGTGCTGCAGATTTATTTAATTTTTCTGAAACTTGGATCGACTGAAAGAAAACTAGGATGAATATTCAATTGTTTTGTTCATTTCGGATTTATCTGAAAATGTGACATCACAGGAAGTGACATCACTTCCTAGACGTCACCACATCTGCGTTTTTCATGTAAACAAAAAAGTATTATCCCTCGACGGTAAAATTTGCTCATATTATTCTTGTTAAAATTCTCAAATGTCTTCTTGAATATCATTGCTTCACTGACTGAACGTTGTTTTTTTCTAAATGCCACACTCTTCATACGGATCGGTACCGTGTAAACAAGTCAAGTTAAGCACACAAAAGAGAACACGTTTGGAAATAACACTGCATTCAAATACAAATGTATATCATGTGTTTTTTTAAGGCCACAGTGTTGTTGACGAATGTGCTGAGTTTGGTATTGTTTGTTAATTGTGCGTGTGCACCACTGCTAGCGTAGCAGCATCAGCAAATCGTTTGTTTAAATATAATGGCAATGTGTTTAAAACAACAAATCTAAAATAAACTCCCAAAATGAACTTGGTAAAATTTTAAATCTGATGTCTGGATAAGAAATGAGATCAGAAACTCATCCCTATTACATACTAAAACACATCTTTTTTAGGATGCAAGTCATGGATTAAAAAAAAACAATTCCTTTATTTTCAGGGGGGGAGGGGCACTTCGATGCTTTTAAAATCTGACTTTCTGACATCAATGCAGTGGCTCAGTTTGATGGACCAGACGTACTTGCATAATTTTGTTGGGGGGTGGGGGGAGAGTACGTAAGTGAACTAAAGCACCTGGTCAATCTCAAAACTTCCATTAGCTTTTTGTGATGTCTGAAACTCTGCCTCGAAATGTCCAATGTTAAAGGAAAAGTCAATTCCATTAAAAGTCGTAGCTCTCCGTTCCACCGCATTTTATTTGTAGGGGAGGAGGGAAAGCACTCGGAGGCGGATTCACGGTGTTTTCGATTGCTGGCTGGAATTTTTTAAAAGCACCGCGGAATGAATTTAGAACTTTCACGACGCACGGTTTGTATTAACCGTTTTCTATCAAAGCATTCAAACGCAGTCGCCATCCATGAAACTAAACGAAACTATTTTTTTTATACCAGGTAAGGCCCACTGAGCTATGTACCCTTATTTAAGACGCGACCTGGCTATCGCAAATGATAGCTCAACGAAGCGGTTGATCATCGCGCCGACTCTAAATGTGGAGGGGAAAACACCGGATGACCTGGAGAAAAATCCACGCAGCCACGGGGAGAGGGACACGCAAATTCCAAGTTTGTAGGCGTCAGGGTCGGGATCGAACTTATAATCTCCTGTATACCATGCGAGGTAGTTAACATCTCGCCACCGTAGCACCCACTCGCGGTTTTGAAAACGCTGTCATTCATCACACTTCATCCACAGTGTCCGTCTTCTCAGCAGCGTTTCCAACCCATCCTTTTGGCTGCCATTCTTCCACCAGGCTCACACAATGGCCAGTTTCGTGAATACAGTTTCGTCCTTTTCTTGAGCGTCTCAATCGGGAAGAACTGGACCAATGCCACTTCTGGATTGAAAATTAATTTCTTTAGAACTGCTTTTTGTATTTTGGTTTGCTGTCCTTCCCCCGCACCTCCGATTAGCACTGTTGGCTATGTACGGTGCGAAAGAAGTTCAACTTACATACAACATACATGCTCAGACGTACTTAGCTATGATGACGTGGTTTGTTCAAACCCAATCTTCTTCAGTCAAATGTGATGTTTCTGATTTGCGTTTTTTTGACTCGATCAAAGTCTTCATTTTCGTCTCGGTGTAATATGAGTTGTCCATCTCTCCATGTTTCTTTCTGCACTTAGCAGTTTTTTTTTCTCCCAGTCTTATTTTGTAGTGTTTCTCAATTCACAGGTTACAGTTGGCAATGCGTACTGATTGAAAACCTTCCTCTTGGGGCACATTCCTATCTGCTTTTTATTACGGAATTAACTTTTTTGAATGAGCACTCCATCTGGTTCTTGCTCACCTCTTTATCTTTTCATTTCCATCAGATACATTTTAAAAAATGCCCTGGGTATAGACTGATTATGTATATTTTGCTGCATTTTCAAATTTGCATCCAATCGACGGTTATTTCATGTGGTTTTGAACAGTACACCTTTCACATCGTGAGCACTCTGTGTTTCAGTCCAAGGACCAATCAAATGTCACCCTGCTGATCTTATATGATGGCAGAGTGGCTCAGTGGTAACACTTGTACCTCACAGCTAAAATGACATAGGTTCGGATCCCGACTTGGGTGCCTTTCTGTGCGTAATGCCTACGTTGCCTCGCTGCCCTGTATGGATTTTCTCTGGCTTCTCTGGTTTATTGCATAGCTAAATAAATAAAAAAAACATCCATCAGTCTAACTCGTAATGGCCAAAACATCCGATGACTAAAAAAATACAAATTTTCTCAATAGGAAAATCTCCTCTTCCGATTGAAAAAAAAGTATTGACACCCAATGAGGCTTTCCTGGGTAAACAAATGTAATAATAATGAATACATATGCAGATGCGGTAAAAAGCATGTGTTAAATACTCAATCTCAAACTACACACTTCAGTGACATAACATGCAAATGTTCACGTGGAACAGAAAAAAAATCTTCAATCCCGATTCTAGGAGAATAAATTAGACACCAGTTGCATAGCATATATTCACGAGTGGTGAAAGGTCAGGGGCGATGGGGTTAATGCATTTTACTGACACCAAATCCCATTATCACAGCAAATGCCAGTATAAACAAAACATTCCAAAATTCGTGTCACGACTGAAAGACGTAAATATATATATATAAACGTTTTTAAAAATGCCACTGTAATGTCACACTTCTGTCAGTATTAAAATATCTACATTTGACAGCTTACTATGAGTACCAACACGATGACAAAGGGAGCTTGAGGAGGCAAGATGCACTTGTGAGCCAAGCCAGTCTGGGGCCCTCGCGGTACAGGTGGGGTTTTTTTCCACTGGCCATTTACCGAGCCGAGCCAGAACCAAACTGTGGCCACAACAAGCCAACCGAATCTGGCTTGAGGCCAAGCAGGGCCAGTGGGCGGGGGCTGGGGGTTAGATAGCGATATGATATGGCAGGGTCGCGTCGGTGCGGGTGGAGCCACGGGGACACACCATGGCATATGCTGTGTGCCTCCCTGAGCTTCATGGCTGCATCTCACCTGATCGCAAATAGACATCACAACGATTAACCACGATTAACGCCACATTACGCTGATTGCTGCTGGCATCCTGACATTCCAGCGCTGAAAAAACACCGCTCCTAGATTCCACAATGCCATATGACATAATAATTGTTAAATTAATTACCGGGTTTTTTTGTTTGCTCGCTGTCGTATTATCTGGTTGCTTCGTTCTTGTTTCCTCGTCGTACTGCGGTTGATTGTCGTGGTGTCCGACGTTTCGCTCCGCAATGGAATTCAGTTCGTGAAGAAGGTTCCGGCACGTGTAGCAAAACGTGCCGAACAACTTGCAGTACGACCTTAAAACGCATCGGAGAAATACACAGCAGCAGAATCACAACTGCACGAACACCGACACAGTCGTAGACATGAGGAATATTATTGTTGTTGCTTGACGTGTGATATCAATGTGACGTTAAATGCCATGGGCCTTAATGATTTAATAACGCTACGTTGTGTGTCCGTTCTTGTGCCAAAATTCTTCAAAGTTTGCAAACAGCCCAAGATGTTTGACTCCGATTGTTACTCTGGCTTTTTAGACCTTGTCCTGATTTTGCTTGATGTAGTCACAAGCGGAAACATCGCGTGTGTAATTGCTAAGTTTGGTTGTGGGGATTTGTTTTTCAACTTACCAGTGAGCTGAGCGAATCACAATTGGCGTGTTAAACGCTGGTATACGTGACAATTTAATTTGTTTGGCTGTGTCGGCTGGTGGAGCATTCCTTGCGACATAGATTTGGCCCTGATAATTCACTATGTAACACAATTTTTTGTTCCTGGGTACTAAGTGTTATTTTTTAATTGCTCATGCCTAAAAAGTATAGAAAACGGCTTTTATTCCCCACAAACTTTGCTTTTGTGACCAGGACTGTAATGTGAACGAAAGACACAAATACACACGTTTTCTCATTGAAAATATGTAAATTTCAAAATATCACTGTCCTGGTCACAAAAGCAAAGTTTGTGGGGGAATAATAACCATTTTCTAAACATTTGAATCATAAGCAATTAGGAAATTACACGACCCAGGAACAAAACTTTTTTGTTAGACAGTGTTATTAATGGAGTGGATTATTAACTTTGCTTTTGTGTGCTGGTGAAAAAAGCAAAGTTCGTGGGGAATAATAGCCATTGTATATGTACTTTTGAGGCATAAGCAATTCAGAAATAACACTTACTACCCAGGAGCAAAACAAATTGTTGCACAGTGTAATTACTTGGCCTAGCCCCAAAGTCAATGACGAAACATAACAGCGGCTGAGAAAACCCACGGACTGGGTCGCTCATGATGAAGCCTATTTGTAAATGATTTAGCTGCCGTGGCAGGACGTCCGTACGAGTGAGATGGACGCATCTGTAAGAAGTGCAGGACTGCTGGCGGAGCCCTAAGAGATGCCCCCTGTATAGGGAATTCGGCCCACACTTCAATGCTGGCCAGATATCGTTCGAGAGGTGGGACCAATTGATTGACGTGTGGTGCCTCCCCATCACCAGTGCTGGGCAGACAGATGTGGGGTTGGATTTGAGAACAATTAGCCGATTGTTGCCACTGATGCGCCAGGAGACGGAATCGAACGGGCGACTTCTGGATTGCAAGTCCAGTGCGCTGCGAACCACCGCAACCACATCCCGAGTGACTGTAGGCAATGTAAATAATGTTTGTTCAAACCGAGATAGATTTATATCAGCACGTCCGAGGTAAATGTGCCCCTTGTTTGTCAAGCTGCTGCTGAATGAGGGCCTCCCCACGACCGGATTGGTCAAGAAAGGGGACATGCGCAGACATTTGGGGCAGAGCACAGTTGCAACGATGGATTTTCGTATCTTCTCAAGATTTACATGGCCCCTTTAAACCAGGGGGTGATTTTCATCAGTGATGAAACAAAAAAATAGTACGTGCGGTGAGAGCGGTTGAGATGTTTTTTTTATTTAAAGTGGGGTTATTGAAAGTGATATTTTAGCTACGGTGAAAGTTGGGAGAACGGGCGGGAGAGGTTAGCGGGGGTGGGGGGGGGTGCGTTGGGCCTGGTCGTAGCTGGGGGGCAGGGAGCAGCAGTAGGGTGGGCTGCACTGTCCCCTGTTACCCGCAGTGTAAACACCGCAGCAGCCTATAGCACCTGTTTTGCACGACGGTCGCCCATCCAAGCACTCTCCAGGCTCAATACCTGCTTAGCTTGCGAGTTCCGTCGAGAGCGGGATATTTTGGGGCCCTTTGGTCTCATGCGTGTGGATATAAATACATTCCCAAAAATCCAACTTGCATTACAATGCCCCTCATTAAACTTCATGTCTCTACCCAGGGCTTGATTTGATACCTGAAGCTGTCAGGGCGGTGAGCTTCACCCCCCCCCCCCTTCCCCCACAACACGGAATAGTTTCTGTGAGAAAGTGAGGCCTAAATTTCGATTTAAAGCTTTCGTGACTGCAGGAATTCATCTGCTTGGTTCTTTCGGTAAAGTCACGTAGAAGGGAAGTAATACAATAATAAAATAAAACATAATAAAATAATTCTCTTCCCTTCTACGTGACTTTACGGAAAGAACCAAAAAGTGAGGCCTCTTCATACCAAACTTCGTTTAAAGCAGGGTGGGTGGTGTGGGGGGGACAGCAGAGCCAAGCGGTATCTGGGAAGCGATGCATTATTATACCTATGGGTGTCCTACTGTCCTTTATATAAATGAATCATAGAACCACAACACGCTCATCGGAGCTTATGTGTGAGGGGGGGAGGGGGTCACGGATGAATGCCTGCTTTTTGAACGGAAGAAATGGCTTTGCGCTGATGATTATACTTGTTTTTTTATCCATCAACGGACAATGCTTTGAGTGTGGTACGGAAAACGCCAGGTTGTGGAAAAACAAATACGGCGAATAAGAAGAAGCGACGGACCACAGTTTGAGGACGGGGCGTGCGTTTCCTCCTTAGGGGCCGTCCATAAATGACGTCACGCACCTAGGGGGGGGGGGGCGTCAGACATTTGTGACGATGTGTGACGATGGGGGGTGGGGGGGGGGTTGAGAAATGTGACGTCACATCGGAATACGCAACTTTCAATAAATATAGACAACACGTTCTGCTTACTTAAATAGACTTTTTAATAAATGTTTCTCCTACAGCATTAGAGTGCAGCGCCACATTAAATACGCACTACAATGACAATAGTTTAAAGCGATTTGAAGCATGTTTTTTTTTGGGGGGGGGCAGAGCTTTGTGACGTCATACATAAGGGGGGGGTGTGACTTTTTGTGACGCCGTGTGACGAAGGGGGGGGGGAGGTAAAAAATCGTCCAAAATCGCGTGACGTCATTTATGGGCGGCCCCTTAATTAGTCGCGATTGAGTCGGCGATTTGGTTTTTCGTTTATTCTGATCCTCGCAAAACACTTGTCACATCGGAGGCGCGCACTGGCTCCCCCACCGCCCCCGCCGCGCAACAGAATAAAGGAGAAGAGTGTTTGAGTTGACAAGTCTCGCCAGATTCCCTCTTCCCTGCCGGGACGGGGGAAGGCTCCACAGGTGATGGACAAACCCCCTCCTCCCCACACTGTCCGCGTGCGACTAGTCGGCAGCGGCGCTTAGGCAAAAGCAAACAAAGCAAATCAAGCAAACGCTTCGAGCCCCCAAGGGAGCTCAGGGGCGGGAGGGCGGTGGGGGGGGGGGATTAATGAAAAAAAAATGTGAGCCCAATGTTGTATTGTCATGAACATAACACGGTCATTGGTATCGAGTGTCGATTAAACTTTCATTGTTGTTTTCTTGAATCTCTCCTTAAATCTCACTGGCATCTCTTTTGTCTGCCTGCATTCGTCTTACCTCACCACGGCTCCATCTCTTTTGTCGATATCCCCTCTGTCTTGCCACCTCCTGATTAGCGCGGTTGGCTACGTACGGCGCGAAGGAAGTTCAACGAACAGCGCTGTGCGTACGCACATTCTGTCATCTCGCTTCACGAGGGAGTTTTTTTTTGTGCTTTATTGAAAAAGTGTGGAGCTCCAATTTTAATTCGTTGAGGCCCCACCACGGACCCTCGCGATGACCTCACCGCCGATCTCCTCGAGCCTCCCCAACGAAAAAGGTGCTGAACAACATCCCCTGCTGTGCCCGACGCGTCGTCCTTGTCACATACTTACACTCGTTCTGCATTGCGCGTGAATAAACTTGGTTCGTTTTTGTTTGCCTCTTGAACAGCGACCCTGGCTGTCCTTTATTTTACGTAGCCCCGCCGCTCTTCGTTTCGTGCGGGGTGGAGGCGGTGGTAAGCCGAGTTCGATCCCCGGCCATGGCTCACGTTGCTGGCCGGGGTGATGTCTGAAGCGATCTGCCAATTCGTAAAGGCGGATGACTCTGGGATTTGTTCGGCACCGCGCGACGGGTCAGTTGCCGCAGAAGCTCCGGGCAACGTGGAGGGCAAAACGTGGGACGTCGTGCCAGGACAACACGCGGTACGACCCGAACAACACATTGGAGAAATAATTTGGCGTTTCATCGATGAATTTTTGGAACCAAAAATGCAGAGGATGATCTTTGAGGACTCTCATATAAGGTAAACGAATTACACACGTGCAGGACATTTTAATAATTGGCGGATGCTATGGAGACATTTCGCCGTGTAAAACAAATTATAATGCGTGAAACACCCTTAAATGAAAAGACAAAGCAATTGTTGTTTTTTCTTGTAACTATGTGTGCACATGTACGTGAATGCATAATGAATAAATAAATAAACACCACAGAGGGTAGTGGCCAGGTACCATTAAATTACGTATGCCACGTAATTAGATTACAGAAATTGTCTGGCCTTGGGCCAAAATGACACGAATTTCATTTTGTGATTTCAACAGCTTTGTCACAGCACAACATTGTAAATAACCCACAGCAATGACCAACAAAATAAACCCATTACAACTCTCCGCCGTGTGAATGCTTTCACATAATGATGTATGTGCTGGCCACGGAGTCATTATACGTGCCACGGTATACGATACAGTAACATGATATACATTCACGTCGGATGTGGAGCCGTGGCGCGGTGGTTATCACACTGCTTATTGCCCTGCGCCACGAGCCCTGCGACCTGAGTTTGATTCCTGACTGCTGCGAACGACGGTAGCAGGTGACATCTAAACCGGTCCTGGGTAGCACCCTGCACACCCCTCCCCCAACCCTTCCCCCAACCCCTTCACCAACCCACATCCATCAGTAGATTTGAAGTTTTCGTCACTGCAAGGATCCATACTCTTTGGTTCTTTTGGTAAAGTCACGTAGGTGAAAACGTCGTGATTTAATTTAGTTATTTTCATTATTATTTTATTTTTTATTTTTATGTTCACCTACGTGACTTTACCGAAAGAACCAAAGAGTATCCATCAGTAGATTGAATTGACCATACTTCACCAGGCTGGTCAGTATGCGTTGGTGAAGGGGGTACCCAAGGACCGGTTCAGCTATGACTGGCCACTGACATTAGTCGTGGCTGGAAATCAAACTCGAGTCTCTCAGTTCATAGCGTAGTGTGCTAACCACTGCATGAGAGCTTCTCTCTAATACAAGAATACATGGACACCATCATTATTCTCATCCACTGATCACATCCCGTCAATGGAAAGTCCCAAACTCCAGACCCCGTGAGAGTTTTGTTGCAAGAGTAAAGCATTGCATGTCACGACACACCCCAGATTTAATGATTGCCACCGTCATCAGCCATGATCTATCCACTGCTCGATGAAGGCCTCCCCAAGCCGTCACCATCCTGTGATGGACCTGTGATGCAACAGTTCACAGATCTCCTGCGCAAGAAGTCGTTTGTGTCACGCCATCCCCTTTGGTGAACATCATCTCAGATGCGTTTCCTTCTTTGGCTGCGACTCTGCAGTCATCTCAGCCACCAGCCAAAATTACGAGCAACTTCAAGCGGATGCTTGCGAAAGCATCACCTCCCAAGATATGGCTTGCAAAAAACTAAAAGAGGTCACGAATCGCAACAGACTTTTAGCTGGCTACGTATGAGACGATCGCACGGAATGGTGCGAATTCAATCTGCAAACTGATATTTACCCTTTCCTAACCTTGGCCATATGAGAAAACGCCACAGGTGTCCTGAATCGAGCGCTTATTCATTCACACGAACGGCAGGGGAGTTTTAGAGCACCACACTTTTGGACAGTCCTTAAATCCCAGGCACACAGCTCTCACCTCGTCTTACATGGACGTGGTCATGTCACGGTTTCGTTTGCGATGGTTAAACTCGCGCATTCCCATGGCACGCTCATGATATGGCCGCATTGTGTTGATATTTCATGGGTGCTTTTGTGCGGGAGGGACCTGTCACCCTGCAGGGTTCTAGGCGCATTTCCTTCATGGGATAAATTGAAATATTATGTTTTGGAGGTGAGCCCAAGGCTTAGGGCACTAATACCGTGTCAGAGACACTGAGCAAGCACCGCTCAGATCCTGGGTTTGACATCAGGTGCCACGGTGGCGAGATTATTCACTTTCTCGGCTGGTCTACAGGAGGTCGTGGGTTCAATCCCGACCCTGGCACCTGCTGTATATTTGGAATTTGCATGTTCTCTCTCTCCCCGTGGTCGCGTGGATTTTTCTCCGGTTTTCCCTCCACATTTAGAATCAAAATGCGTTTAGAGTATATGGCTGTTGTAAATTTCCACATGATAAGCCACTTCGTTTGGCTATCATTTGTGGCCAGGTCGCCTCTGAAAAAGAGCTAAATAGGTCAGTGGGCCTTGCCTGGTGAAATAAAAAAAATAGTTTTTTTTATAGTTTACATCTGGCCAGTGTGGAAAAATATGCCAAACACCCAATATGTGCAGCACACTACAGCTTCCTCTCAGAGATGCATTTCTCGTCAGCGATAGCATGAGCAAGCAATTGCAGGGCTGCACCTTGCCCTCTTCATTGCACCTCTGCACCTCTGGTGAGCACGGTTGGCTACGTACGGTGCGAATAAAGCTCAAGAT